GCCCAGGATGAGCCAGGAGTTCGTAAACCATGAGAGAGGCAAATGCACCGCGTCCATAAATAGTCCCAGGAGAACTGGCAGCACTGCTCCCACGATTACAGATACAATCTGAACAAGGAGGGTGTGCAAGACCCGCTTGAGGATCTTCTCCAGCTTAATGCCAGAGCCAACCGACATCAACTTGAAGGCGAAGCCACAAATACCGATGGCTGCCAACGACACAATAACGTTCAAGATAACGCCTTCGGTTTCGGTGTAGAAGACCAGGAACCAGCCCATAACATCAAAATAGATGGTGTGTCCTTCGGCGTATTTCTAAAGAAGGAAGAAGAAGATTAGTTACTGAGTCCTATAAAGATTAGCGGCAAGCTTACCGAGGAATCCTCTATCTCCGGACAGTTGGCAATCTGTCGAACCAAGGCCAACAGATTGTCTCCAGTGTGCTGGAAACTTCCCCTAGGAAAGATCTCTGCCCTGTCGTGTCGTGTGTGGTAGACGTACCCATTGTAGGTGTAGGCCATATCCAAGCCGGGAACCGATCCGTGGTCTCGGAAGATGCGGAAATCAGTGTCAGAGGGAATGAAATTATGCTGGAACAGCTCCTCGCCCATGGTAGAAGCATACGGATGCTTGATGGCGCGTCTGTAGTTCTTCATCAACCAGGGATGATTGGGACCCGATTGGAAGAGGATCTCTCGACCGCCGTTTCCACAGGAATCCAGGTTAATAAGAGCTCTTTAAATGAAGGTAGATAGAATAATTCGAATTCGACAGATGCATTCCAATAACCCACTTGCAGAATCTGGCCCATTTGTGCTGGGTGATGAAAGCATGTGAAGCTTGCAGAGGATTTTCCTCGGCTCCGTTGAACAGGAATACCACGGGGTTCTTCAGGGGTTTGTCGGATTTGGCCAGCACACGCAGTACTTCCATCATGGTGGCCACCATGGAAGCATCATCGCCAGCACCAGGTCCTGCCGGCACCGAATCGTAGTGACTGTTTACCAGTAGGTAGGTGGTGCTGTTGGTTCCCTTGGGACTAATCTTAACCACAATATTCTGAATGCTCTGGTACATGTTGACCATCGACCAATGCACGTAGCTCCCGGAGGCCACCTGGACGTCAACTTCGATTTCGTTGGCAGAGCCTGAGCGTATTTTCTGCATCTTCTGGGACAGCAACTTCAGAGCGGCCATCTCGTTCTGCCGGCTGCCCACCACTCGGGGTCCCAGACTCACCAGCTCCCGCAGATTGTTCTCCGCCCGCTCGGCGATGAACTGGTCGGGGTGCTTGGCCTCATCCTCAATGGTAAGTGGGCGGGGCAGGCGGTGGCTGGCGGGGATTGAGATGGCCACGTAGAGCAGCAGCCAGAATCCAAAGAAGGCTGGTGCCCAGAACCACTTGATCTTGTCCCCCCGGACAAAGGCTCGCTCACAGCCATTGGGCTGGGCCTGAAATAAGAACGATACGATTATAAGTTAAATACAAATATCATAACAAAATAAATAGGTTTATCCAATCTCCGATGTAGAAAAGATCGGACTTTTATATGTATTTAATCATAAATTTAAAACTATTATCTAAATGTGTCAAGGGATAGATTTTTCCGAATAACTAAATTGACAAAATATTTACTTTATAATTGGGGGGCTTTATAAACTGCATCTTACTTAAAGACATAGGAAAATAAAATTATTCTTAACTTCCTTTAAGTCAAACTTTCTAATCAGTATTGACGCCAAAGCTTCATAGACTCATACATAAATAAATTAGACTAGGTCTGCATTGGTGGTTTTTAACACTCATCGGGTTTTCGGAAACTTTGCATACGATACGATTTCATTCACAAACAATGGGTTCTACCCAAAACTAGATACCAAAGCTTCTTAGACTTAATCATAAAGCGATTAGATTAAGTCTGTATTGGGGGTTTTTTAATACTCATCGTCTTTTCGGAAATTTTGCACCAAACTAAGTGATAAGCCATTTTTCGATACAATTTCATTCACATACAATGAAATCTACCCACAACTAGATACAATTAGACGTGAGTCAGTTTCGAAATTGGAATCGAGTATAGCTATCAAGTCGAATGTTAGATTTAATCCATCAACAATTATCTTATCGCTGGTCAACCCGGCAGTCGACAAAGTCGCAGAACCTGTTGCCACCGAAAATCGAATTGGTCGTACTTGGATAGTATGGCTCCGTGTGCTGGGGGCTGCTCCACTAAACTAAGCCCAGACAGACAGATAAACGGAGGGTGCAACTAGGGCAGAATGGGCGTTGCTATTTCAAGCGTATCCACTGTTCGTTAATTAACGATTGATTTCCAGATAGGTATTGTACTCACGTCGCCGAAAATAATCGATTTTTTCGGAAGTTAGCCATGGGTAATGCTCATGTTGCGACTGCTTCGATCGAGGGAGATTAGCCAATGCCACACCCAAGTGAAGAGCAATCTAATCAAGGACCCGAAGTGGGTGCTTACCTCATACTGCTGCGAGCCACGAGGTCGGAGCAATGGATACGTATTCGGAGGATCGCTGGTCGGCGTTATTACGCGTCGCCGCACACTCTTGTCGGTGCCACTCATTTCTCCAGGTTTTAGGTCAAGATCTATCGAAGAACCGATCCCGACGCCGTCTAACGCTCAACTGAACGCCCCATTGCTCTGGTTATCCTAAAGTAGCTATACATTCTGCCGGTCTCGTATTCCCTCTCTTTGGAGAGGCTACAGCTTTTTCAGTCTCTCGCCTACGCTATAACGTATCTTATCTTTTGGATCGTAAAATACGGCTAACTACTGGGTCAGAAGGGAAAATGTGGGGGACGACCCTTTCATTAACAGTGAACTGTGAGAACTGCCATATAACTTCCGCTTGGACTCAACATATTTCTGAACTTGACCAACTCGATATATCAATTAATTAGAGTATCAGAATTTTAAGTGCAAACACTTTTTCCCATGGTTTTATCTTTTTTCTTTGCACTTACTGAACTCGAAAAAATTTATTTTCTTTTTAATACATGATTTTAGAAATAAGGGGCTTAAGATAAAAAAGTTTTGATTTTTGGTATTATTAAAATGCATCTAGAAACCCCTATTCAACAAACACTAAGTCATTGTCTAAAGTGCTTAAAATAAGTTTGTTAAAAAAAAAGACTTCTTGATTAAAACTTAATGATATAAACCACATATGTACTATACTTAGGATTACACCACAGGTCTGAAGTATCCCTCAAGCAAAACCAATTGTGAAAGCTTTACCATAACATCTTCATATTTCCTATCTTAATGTTTGTCGACCAGTAATAGGGGCTGTTTTGGGCTCCCCTTTCCCCAAGTAATCAATTTGTACAACAATAAAATTAATTTGTTCTACATGAGATATCATTCCAGACGATTACCTAATATCCAATTTATTATACATACATCTATTTATACTCTCTGTGGTCTGTATAAGTAGTTTGACCTTTATAATCTTGGGGTTAGGAAACCTCGGAAATTGCATTCAAAGAAACAATCTTTGCGAGGAAGACGTACTCACTTAAGGTACGATTTTATAGTTTACTGGAAGTGTCACCTCATTTTTCTAAGTGCACTTTGCATCTGAGAGGAACTTGCCCCCTATTTTCGCACTGCAATCTGCATCCGTACCTTGGCTCTTTTCTCCTCCGTTTCGCTGCTCATTCCAAAGCGTTCTTCTTCTTCCCGTATCGATGTAGTTGCGAGAACGTATTTTTGTTGTTGTTACCGGTGGGAATTCCAGTCGCTGAATGTGGAAGCGATGTTCGCTAAGCCGCGCTTTAATACCGCCTTTCCAGAGAACAAAGCGCTGCGGCGCACCAAATGAATTATTTAGAATGGTCACCGTTTTGTTGACAATAGTCAGTTGCGTTTATTTACACTTTTTACCGGCCCATGTTTACCTAGGCAAATGTGTGTGTGCGTGTAAACAACAGAAATTGGTGTGCGGCGTTCGATTGAAATAATAATCGTTCCGATCGACTATCGCACGAAAGCAGGTTTTATCTCTGCTGTAATTGCATACTTTCGGGCGGTAATGGGCAAATGACGTTACACTGGCCAGCAAAATAAGCGGAAAGCGGAACAAAAGAAACGGGACATGTTAGAAACGTTAATTTTGCTCATTTACAGTTATGAGCCCAGCGGGGGCTCGCCATCTGTCTCTTTCTGCCCTGCATGTGCATTACAAAACGATGACGTGATGGGCGCACACACACATACAGAAGAGTCATCCCGTTTGGAATCGGGGGACATAGCGAAATGCAATAATGGGTCGTGGGAAGTGGGAATGCGGAAGGGAGACGGAGGCGGGGTGGTAGGCGCAGTGTCATTCAACTTAAATGGAAGAGTGGGCGTATGTAGCTTGGGTGTGTGTGTGAGTGTGCCATTTACTCTCGTGGATTCATTCACTCACCAACACCAACACGCACTCACTTCTCCATTGATGCCTTGTGGCACTGAAATTCGTAAACAAAGCGTTCACCGGAACACGGGGCCAAAGGATAATCAATAAAATGAACGCCCAAGAGTATGCAATGGAAAATCGAAAGAGAGAGAGAGGCTGAGGCTCCACAATCAGAGCCACGGAAACACTGACCAGCTACGGGTTTAAACCATGAGTTCTGGCCTCCATTTATGCCTAGTTTGAGACTAATTGGGTGTTGGGGAGAGAGAGGTTATGGGCCTGCGCAAAGGCGAGAGAGCAATTGCCGGTTGGGGCCACAACCAAAACAAAGCGAAATATGTGTCAGCTGCTGCTGCTTCTTCTGCCCGCCTTTTCGACACAAATTCGCGCGTCCTCGTGTTGTGGGCACCTCCCACCACCCAACACCCACCACCCACCCACCGCCTCTCTTTTTTGCGCGTTCATTTTTGGGTCGCCGCTCTCTCTCGCTCTCTCTCTTTCACCACTTTCTCCGCCTTTGAGCCGCTTTGCCTACTACCAAAGTCTCAGTCGCGTTTCAACGCTCGAAGCTTTTGGTCGTGCTCGCTGCCCAGGAGAAAGTGGTAAAAGAAAGTAGGACTCAAAGGATCCCTAACGCTACTGAAATGTGCTAGGAGTAAAAAAAAAGAAAGGGGCCGCGTGTCTATGTGTGCGCGTGTGTGTGCGTCTATCTCTCGGCCGTTTCCGTTTGCCTAGCTAAAAATAAAATTATATAATTTTTAATAAAAACCCCCCAGCGAATGCAAATTGAAAATCGTATTAGAAAATAAAAACATAAAGGAACCGGAGCCAGCTGAAGAACATACGGAATTTGTGAGTAACAGCCGCGTGATTGTTGGCCAGGCCAAAAAGCGGGGCCAAAAACACGTGAAATGTTTGCATACTTAATGGAGGCGTGTCGTTTGTATTCAAATACTTAACTTCGGTCTTGTCTAGAGAAACATTGGATTATGAAAACGCGGCGCATGCAAATCAGTGTGATTTAAGGAAAACACTCAGACATGTCTATATAATCAAATAGGGCAAATACATTGGGGGGTTGGGAGTTACTGGTTCTCCGCTTCCAATGTTTCGTTTAAAACTTCCACTGGCTGACCATATTTATAGCAAATCAATTAAAAGTTTAGGAAACCCAACTTTGCCGAAACCAAATTGTCAGTTTGGAACTTTTAAATTGCTTTCCACATGATAGTTTTGGTTTATTGATACCCATTTAGGTTGCAAAATCGGATTGGGCTATTAAAACTGGGACCAACCTTAATTTGCGGGGATTACAGGTCGTTGACCAAGCCGATTATCATTAGCCTGCCGTTAAAATTCCCAACCGCTGTGCAAAATTGTAGCCCCCTTACCACTAACCAAGTTTTTCCTTATTTCTTTCCGCTTACTTTTGTGGGTCATAATAAAATTTTGGACAATGACACAATAGCCGCAAATCAGTGGCAGGATGTGGAGAGAACAAAGCACACGCAAGGAAGTGGAACATGAGAGGAATAATAAAAGAAAACAAAGAAGGAAAAACAAAACAAAAACTGGTAAAAACCAGAAAACTTTTCCAGTTAAAGTTCTAAGTAGTTGGCTCAAGAAGAGTTTTTACAAAAAAAAGGAAAAAATTGAAAAAGTATTTTAACAATTGCCAGATTCGTGTCGGCTTTAATGTTTCTTAGTTGCAATTGCCCTGGGTTTCAATTTAGCCATCCCTATCGATTTTTACTCAAACATTTTGGCTTCAATTAGTATCTGCTTAGCTAAAATTTGAATAGCTTCCACGAAAGTTTCTATTGCTCTGAAAAATGAAATGCCGTCAATTGTTTACAATGCTGGAAAATGTCACGGGAAAAGTTCAAGACCTTGGGGGAGGTACTCTGAGATCTTGGGGAAGTTTCCCAGCTGCTGCTGTTTTTAGGAGACAAAGGACCGGATTTCATCGAATTTGAGCCCTTGCTAATAGCGAATCGAAGCGGAGGCTCTGGGGATGAGCCCGCAGTGCGGCTGTGGGTAATGGATAATGGGGAAGTGGGTCTATTTTACCCCTACTCAGCTGGTTTTTGTCTCCCTTTTTATCCCCATATACACTTGACTGAGCCTGCTGACGAGGCTTCTATTCCTTTACACAGAAAAAAGGCACCATATCAGTTATATTTCACTTCGTTTCCGCCATCTAATTAGTTTGAAACAGGCACTGTAACAGTTGTAACTTTACCAGATTTAGAAGAACTAAGAAAAGTTGTCGGACTATCAAATTGATTTTTTTTATTTTTGAGATTGTTGGTACACCACTTAGTAAAGTTAAAATGTATTGAACTGAAAATATAAATCACAAAATGTTAGACTCTGACTGTTGTATATTTTAAAACTCTTTCAAAATTATCAGTCAGGACAGGATAAAAGTCTTTAGATAACTGTTATTCTCTGACAAGTAAAATAAAAGTCTCAAAATAACTGCTTTTCTCTTGAATTTGATATAGAGCTCTATAAAGTAGTAGGCTGTGAAGTAGACTGTGCCTCAACATTTTGTGCATTGGGACTGAATTTATAGTTAACTTTCGTGTGTTATCGAATTCATGAAAAGGTGTTTATGCACACACGAATTTGCCCATTTCATGAATTGATTTCATGAAATAGGCATAGCATAAACACAGTAATAAACACAGTATCTGTGAGATACATAAAAGTCTTTGAATCTGTTTGTTAAATGTTGTGAGTTATTTAAAAGTCCCACGATAAAGGTCTTAGGCATGAATCAATAGAACGCATCAGAATAAACAATTCAGCGCTTTAATAAAAATTCTATCCATTTTTCTTCATGTTTATTTTTAAAGGACTTAAAGAAAAACTGTTATTTTCGACCCCTGGTTTAAAATGTTTATGTTTGAGAAACATGTAGTTCATATGGATATTATTTGCTATTACTCTGCTGTGTAGGAAGGAAGCTCTTTCGACCTAGTAAAATATAAACTGTGTTCAAAATTGCCCCTATTATGTGTTACCCATATGAACAATGTTCATTGAACATATTTCTGAAAATGACTCCCTTAAATTCCAATAGTTTTGTAATGTTTCATACTCGTTTTGATGGTAAATTTACCTAGAATTTTTCCTGCGTGCACCTCCCCTATCACCTAATTTTCCCCATTTCCCTGGGTGCGTGTGTTACGCTTTTTAATGAAGTCATTTGAAGCATTCGCTGATTCGTTTGTGATTTATGAGCAGCACCACAGACACGGCATGGGCCTCCCCTTTTGGTCCACCTCCCCTCCCAGGTGACGGGCATCAATCAGTTTTTCTTGTTGTTTTCGTTGCCGAGCCATGGATGTCGTTTTTTGTGTCTGGTTATGCATGTGTGTAGCTTCAGTTCACTTGTCACGGTAATTGCTTCAAAACTTCTGGCCCAGAAGCTAACTGGATTAGGCTAATTGGATGCCAGATGTTTTGGATTTGAAATTTTACCTGGTAAATACAGGATCCAGTTTGAATAACGTTAATTAGGACGAAGGACTGCTGATTGCAATCTTAGCAGATAAACGGTCTTTAAAAGCTACAGAGCCTTTTTCAAAGCCAATTTTTTATCTTTTCTTACATTTTTGGGAGGTGATTTCACTGCATTTTCAGCTGGGCGTTCAGAAATTCGTCTGTATGTATGCCTGCAGCTTTCAAGGGTTTAATTAATTACGTTGATATAATTACTTAAAAGCCGCTTAATCCTAAATGAAAGCTTGCGACCCGCTCCCTTTTCTGCTGCTGACAGGTTTTAAATCCCAACTTAAGTGCTTTTTAGAGCAGTGCCCTTGTACATATTTCAACTTGGCGAGTCAATAACCTAATCATACTTCCCACGAATATATATCCCACAGGGATTGGACTATTTCATGCTTGATTAAGCCAACGACCAAGCAAAAATACTTATAACTCAATGTCGAAAGTAGTTCTCTACACGAGCACAATGCCAGCGGCACTGCCAAATGGAAATGGCTGCGATACGGGGGTAGATTCCACCCCATCTTGGCGAAATGGCACAGCAGACATTGACTTATTCATACTGCTGCTGTTGCAGTGCAGTTTTAGACCCGGCCAATGACTTCTGTACTTGGCCAGGGAATGAGCAGTGCAACCGAGTAGACACTCCCCAAAGAAGCAGTTGGATTTCTTTGGAAATGCAGCAAAAGAATACTACCTCCTCTATACCATTTGCAAAAATCGGGAGTGATAAGAAAGGAGATCAAGAAAGTATATTACCATTCCTTTGAAAATAGCTATATAGGTGTCCAAAAGAATGCAACAATATATTTGGAATCAGAAGTACGATGGATTTATTCTGTAAAAGTACTTTATTTTTTCGTTGCATACTTTTAAACACACTTTTAGATTGTAAGACCTATTTCTTTCTTATTAATTCTCAACTTATATAGGTGTCTGAAAGTATGCAACAATATATTTTGGAATCAGAAATACGATGGATTTATTTTGTAAAAGTACTTTATTTTTTCGTCGCATACTTTTAGACACCCTTTTAGATTTTAAAACCTATTGCTTTCTTATTAATTGTTAACTTATATAGGTGTTTGAAAGTATGCAACAATATATTTTGGGCTTAGACACCCTTTTAGATTTTAAAATCTATTGCTTTCTTAGTAGTTTCAATTTAATTTATAGCAATTTTATTTATTTAAGCCACAGCTCTAAAGATTCACAAACATTTACAATAATAGTTTACATTGACAAACAACATAAAAAATGACAACATCGTGCCATTTTTAAGAAAAGTAAATTTAATAATTCCCGTTAATACCTACACATTCCAACAATCTGTGCTATAGTACAGTTTAAAGCGGTATCTTTCATCTGGAACTCAGCTTCAGCATTCATTCTCGTTAAAATGTATTCTTTGTGAGTGGTAGTGGTCAAGCCATGAAGGGGATTCTCATTAAGTGCCACTGAAAGCATCCACAAAGAGACACTGTTGGGATGGATTGCTGAGGTCGAGCACCAGCCCCTTGGACAGGATAATCGAATCTGTTACCTTTTCGGAGATTGAGTGGAGAGCCTTCCCAATATAAAAAAGGTTAAGTCAATGGGGTCTGCGAATGTGAAGACTCATTGCGCGGGTAATGATGTTTGCCAACCACTTTGATGGACAGCTTCATTCAAACGGATACGTTTATTCTTCCGGCTTAGGCAGCGAATATTGTTTTCCTCTGGTAAACGGTGTAATATCGCAGTTTATGAGAAAATTCCAGATCGATTCAGTCCAGAATTTATTCACAAACATTGAGCCGCTTTAATGAAGAGCCTCGAGTGGGGAATCGTATTCTTTTCTACTTTTATTCCTGTATCGATTGTCTGTTTGAGTGTGTGGGCATTGGCGATGAGCTGGCCGTATCTGCTGCTGATATGTTGGCCTAATCATTCGACTGGAAATCGCACAAACAAAGGCACGCCTTCCCGAATGTTTTTGATGTTGAATGAGTGGGACTTTGACTTGTCGACGGATCGGTGGGGTGGGCATACACAGACAAAGGACTCGTCAATGGTGTCCTGGTCGTTATCCCTTGAGCTTTGGGACCCTCTTGTCGAGCAAATAAAGTTACTTCACCATCGGGCCAGACAAAAGTTGGCCCACATCTAGTTAATTAAGTAGCTATTACAAGCCACAAGCCACATGAAAGCTGCATTTCGAACTAAATAAAAAGCCGCAACACACTCACTATTTTTGCGTAAATTCATTAAAATCATTTTGGCACCCCAACTACAGTTTATAAGCTGTAGGAATTAATGTTTTTTGCGGAATTCTTTGAATGGTAGGCTTAATAGGATACGGTAATAAAAAACAAAGGCTATCGACCATCATATACCCGTTACTTGGCCAAAAGGAGTGCGATAAAGACGGAGATATGCATGCACACTACACCAACACGCCACCTAGCGTCTATACTTTATAAGCTTATACATTTTTAATGAATAGTCCGATTTGAATAATGTTTTTTGACATGTAGATGGGTATTGATAATAAGAACAAAACTCGGAAACTCTCCGTTCTCCCTGTTACATCCTTTCCGACGAATCTAATATACCCTTTTACTCTACAAGTAACGGCTTTAAGTATTTACGGATTTTCCAGCTCGTGGAATTTTACCCGAGCAATTAAAGTGTTTCCATACGTAATGCATTTGTGATTAATCCCTCTTTTCATTTATGCAATCAATATTTCCCTCTGAGCTCTTCAATTTATATCGAGTAAGTGAAGCAATTTGATATTTTATTGTATCGCTGCATTGTAAATTAGTTATATCACCGCTGGCATAATTTTTATCAGCGCACGGAAGCACACATCAATCAAATACAAAAGGAAATAATCAATTCTCTTGAACGGGAAAAATCTGTGAATATGTGAAGTATTATTACTGGTATGCTGATGATGATTATAATTATTGTTATGGTGATTTACCTATACATTTTGCCCGCGGCCACACTGCGTATGAGTGATGATGTGTGAACGATGGAAATCAATTATGGGGATGTATTTACACATGAATAATTTCACTGGATGGCAGGTGGTATTCATATAACACTTGGACATCCCCTTACATTGCGGGACTCCATAAGAATGCAAATGTGTTCTATATTTATATAAACCCATTCCCTAGAAAATTTATTCGTTGACCACTTGGAAGTCCAATCGCCTGTAGCGGGTGCAAAGTTAATTTGCCTTGGCGTTTAATGAGAATTCTGTTGTCAATTCATGCCACCATTATATTTTCTATGCTTTTGATAAAAATTATGTAAATACTGTTGGGGAACAATTTGTGTCAGCTTTGGCTTCTGCGTCTTTTGCGCTGCCCGTCCCGTTCTTTGACTTTTAATACGAAAAGTCAGCAGCGTAATAGAAAATTGTTTGCCTTATAATGAAAGAATAAATCTGCTAACAGCGCATTGGGCACGCGTTGCGTATACGTAATATGAGAAAATAATTGCTGCCGCCACTGGCGACTAAATTGCTTTCGAAGCGAGCCCAAAGGCACACACTCCCTAACATACCCATACAATCGAAAATGATGAGATTGCGAAAAAGTTCCTTCTTTTTTTAAACAGAAGAAAGCCCAGAAAATTATTTCGTTTACAAAGGTTTCTCTTGTTCATCACCCACACCCAAAACCGAAAAAACTCTGCCTTCATGGTCATGTTTATTGGCCTCCTGTTGACCAAAACATTTCCCTACACATCCTGGAGTCTCGAGTCACAAGCCCCGAATCTCGAGTCTGTCATTGCCATTCCGTTGCTGATGTTTCTCCTTTCGCACTCGCCATAAATCATTATTATCAGGAGCAACATTTTAATGACTTTGGACATTTGCATACCCATACACCTGTTTACAAAAAGGGGGCTGGCAAGGGGCGTGGCTGGGCTGGGTCAGCTCAGCGGGTGAAATTGTAGTTCAAGGACTTAGGAGTAAGCCCATGGCTTAGAGGCTTCAATGATGTCTTCCGAGGAACCACAAATCCCCCGGTGCGCAATTTTCTTTTATTATTTCGGTAAATTTACATTTGTTCCAAATGACTAACGACATACTTTGGGGTTTAATTTGCTTTTTTAAATGCCAGTCTCTTGTTTTTTGTTCTCCACTCTTAAAGTTACGGAAGCCGTAATATATTTATGTTTATAACTTTGAAAATTAAAATTAAACTCCTGAGTATTTGCCATAATAATTTAAAACTGACAGATTTAAACCAAGCTTATATTTACCAAGCTGATGAAAGGATTTGAGAATGTATTTTTGTGTTTTTGGGAATCGACAATTTTCATATGTGCCCGTGCGAATGGAAATTCATTTACCATTCAGGGATTTTCATCTCCCAACTAAAATCCATCAGTTGTATGAAAACCACAGGGTAAGTGAGTTGTAAATCCAGAAATACATTTGCCATAATTCGGCTTCAGATGTTGGGTTGCATTTTCCAAAATGCAAAGAAAACTAAAATTCTAAGTCAGTGATTGTTTGCTGAATTCGATGGAAATGGTACACTGATAAACAAAAAGGACGTAAATCAGAGGATTTTTAGATATGAAAATATTTAATTTAACAATTGAAATTATTTTAAAAATGTTATAATTTGAATTTAATGTGAATTTTTTGTTCTTAAAGAAGTAAAACATTTAAAGTAAATTTGACTAAAATCAAAACTAGTAGTCTCTACCTTGATTTAAAATTTTCAAAATAAATCACTCCCTTTATTATGTTTTGTTTTGAACCATATTTTTTTGTACTTAGGTCAAATATCTAATACATTTTGAATTAAATCTGTAGATATTTATTTATACTATTCCATTTTTTATCAGTGTACAGAGGTCTCTGAATTTAAGCCAAAAATCGTTTAAGTCATATGGTTTGTGGCGATGGCTAATCCAAGGGCATTCAAACTTCGCTTTGGCTGTTGCTCAACTCTTGCTGTTGACCCGCTAAAGCTGTTTTTCATTCTTCTTGGTGACACATGACCCCCCCCCCCCCCCCCCCACACTAACAGCCTTGGTTTCTCGTATGCATAACAAAAATGGCAGCGGCAGCAACAGGGCCAAAACTCAAGCGGCGCTGCCTGTGGGCGGAATATGAAATACCGTTGGGGGACCCAAAGGACCTGGCTTTTAATTGTGTGTCGGAAATTATGTTTCACTTTTCCCACCGCCGGCACATCGTCATCAACAAGCCTCGACGGGCTTTTGTTACCTCCTGGAACAGTAACCCGAGGCGTAATTCTCCGGCAGTGCAAATTGGAGGGTTACTGCAAAAACATGGTTCCTGAAAACGAGTATAATTTCGTATGATTTAATTGTTTGTTTTTTTGTCTAACGTTTTTCAGAAGTAACTCTATCCGCAATGTTACACAGCCATACATATTTAATTGGCCGTGTTTTTGCGAATGCCTTGTTGGCTTTGTAAAGGTTTTCAGCGAAAGAGATTTCTCGAATGGCCAATTACTGCTAACCATAAATGCCAATTATAAGTACCTTTGGTTCGATGGCTTCAATGAACAGCATAACAATGTAATAAGTACTTTGGATTTATTTCGAGTAAAATGATTTTTACTAAAGTGATCTTTAGTTTTATAAGTACCAAATTAGGTTTACTATTATTATCGATGCCTTTCCTTATCAAAGGCTTTTTATTTAAAGGGAATATTTATTTGAACTAGCTGTGATAAGGAAAGATTTATGATGTTAAATAAATTTTATTGATCAAACTAATCAAATACTACCCTGAATTTACATAGAAAATAATCTTTTTTGACTAAAATTTGTAAACATGTTCTATAAAAATTACTATTTCCATTTATTAATAATAGTTAACTATCTAAATAATATTTTCTTTATTCTATTTATTTGCAGCTCCTTTGGTCTTCATCGTTTAACTTCGATTAATAAAAAACATTACAACTCCAGCAAACACAAAACAATCGGGTAGAAACAAGATTAAGTAATTTGCCCAGAGCGACGACAACTTTTAAACTTGTCCACTTTGCGGTTTGCAATTGCAAACTTTGCGGCCAGTCATCTAATGCCCAACGATTAAAGTGCAATTCGAACTCGATTTAATTGATTTGGCCAAGGAACATTGGTTCGTGGAGGGGCACTACTACCAACTGGGAGCGGTTCGTGGGAGGCTGGGGGATTGCTCTGCGGATGCATTTCGTTTGGACAGGGGCCCGACAAAGACAATACGGAGGGTCTACGGAGTGCTTTGGCCCGTTTACGCAACAGAACGGGCCCCTCTCTTCCACAACAACCCACCCCGCCGGCCTCTCCCCTGCCCCTTGCCAGCGCCCACGGCCAAAGCCACGCCCACATCGCCGACAGAGGCGCAGGTGGCAGGTGCACCAGCTATTGCCAGGACTCGTCGAACCATCATCCGAGTGAGGCGGCAAAGGGAACCGCAGCATCTGCAGGATCGGCCAAGGGTCCTGCCGCCGACGGTAGCCACATCAATGGCCTCGCCCATCATGTAAGTACGCATCCGCTATCCGCATCCCACAGATATGCAGTACAAAAGCTAGCTCCCTTCGGCATGCATATTCTACTTAATACACATCCGCAGTCTGGTATCGGGCAGGTAACCACGCTAAAACGGAGCTGCTATTGCTGAAATACTTGTATCTTACACCTGACACCGCAAATCCACTAATAGTGCACCGCAAGCTTGAACAAACCGAAATTTGCTGAGTTCGCATTGTTAAATGTGAGGGGTGAAGACAAACGAATGGTATATTTAATTAAAAGAAAATAGTATAAATAAATAATTACAAAACAAGAGAGGAATCTGACTTATCATGTAGTTAACATCATGTATTCGGGGGTGCCACAGAAATCAATTTGGGCGGAGTTTGGGGGAAACTTCTTGATGGTCACGTACATTTCCCCTGAATTTCGGTCGAAGAAATTTCTATGACACCCCCCATATCCAAGAAACAGTTCAAGGCTTATACCGATATTTCCTATGAAAGCTACATATATGATAAAGTAGTCCAGTGACGGTTTCAGGATTTGGTTGTGGAAGGGGATATAAAAAAAATTTGTTTAGTAGAAATACAAAATTTGGAATAAAATACATTTTTCATATACTTTTTAACTCGAGTGGGGGGATGTAACCCCCATTCCTATTATTTATTGAAAAAAAAAACCGAATAAAAATTGCTATACCCTTAAGTAGATGGGAATATGACGAAAATTAACAAAGCTATACTTTGCTTCATGTTATTTTTTCATTAATTTTTGGATAGTTTTTATGGCTATATGATATGGTCGTCCAATTAAAAAACAAATTTAATAAATATTCTAAAATCTTAAAAAATAATATGATCAAAAACAGGAAAGTTAGACTTTGTTTTCAATAATTTATTCTAGGCTTCTATGATCTCTATTGTATGTAGTTGTCATAACCAGTCTATCCAACTTATATACTACCTGCAACTTTTGGTAAAGTTTTATCTCGATGGCTCTATATTATTTTTCTCGAACACCTTGACAGTCATTTCATTTCAGGATTTATTTTAAGGAGTAGAACAATTTGCCTACTGTAGTTTAAAGTTTACTTAAAAGCTTTATGGTATTTATTCGAGCTTTTGTAATTGGATCTGCCATCAACTACCGTTTCGGCCAGGTGTTAACAGTTTTCAAAAATGTCCATGGCAGTCCTGTTATTGGTAATTCGATTTGCATTTACTTCACATTATGTGGGCGGCAATTGGTTTACCCAGGGCCAAGCGAACAGGGTCAGCACGTGAGTGGGCCCCAATAAAAAGGGCATTTCCGAAAACAACGACACCAACTTAATTGCTTAACAACATTTTACCATTAGACTTAATTAAGTCGTCAACTGAAAAGTGCGCTCGTTGGAAATACGGAGATGTGGTGCTGAAAATAGGAACCGCCTGCACAATCTGGAACAAAACCAGCATGAAAATTGTGGACTCTTGAGTCGGATGGCAACGACAATATGGTAATGAATTTTAATGAGATTTTCGGTTTGTATTTTAAAGGGATTTCATACATTGAAGGTACTGCGAAGGTAGCTAGTTAATGAGGATTTCCCTGGCACATGCAGCCACCACATTATTTTGCAAACTCATCCCATCAAAAGCAAGTGACGTTGGCCCACAGATTGTGGTTGACATCTGCCGAGTTTGGCAAACAAACGGCTGGCCATGGCCAAAAACAGAGAATTTCTGGCCAAAAGCCATGCAAAAACGCTCATATTCGACTAGGGCTCTTCGTTCAGATCGCAATTGTATGAGGTCTGTTGTCATGTGCAAATATTAGACAATTTAGCCAGCCCTCCTGTTCATCAGCCCGAAACTTTGGTTATTGGAGAGCATCAACGGCCAAGAGGAAGGCATCCCTTTGCCAATTTATAAAGCTCACTTGGCCCAAAAGTCCAAGAGGATTAGGGCAAAAATATTTGGGTCTTCTGTTGTTTTTTCGGCCTGCCAGTTCAAATTAGAGGGTTGAGAGGATTTACTCAGCGGCTTAATTAAACGCAATTAAAATAATGTTGACGCTCGTCTGTTGTTACAATTCAATTGTTATTACCGGAAAGTCGACTAACATTTGCACAACTTTAATTTATTGTTGCTAAACCGCAACAGGGGGAAAACTCTTGAAACCTAATGAATATTGAGTCGCTCGAAGGATACTGCACAAAGGTGCAATTTGAATGAGTATACCGCAAGTTTGCTTTGCACTTCGAAATGCTCTCAATTAGATTAATTACTCCTGATGTCGCAGAAGTTGTTAGAGTGCCATAATCTGCTTTCGACTGCATTTTTATTGTAAATAAATTACGAATTGGGGCATGATATCGCAACCAGCAATCAACCCTGACAGCTTGGCATTCAAGTACAACACAGAGAAAATTCAGAAGTTCTTATCTGAGTTAAAAATGTTCCTAAAATTATAACTACATTTTTGAATCAAGTTGAATTGGCGGTATTTACATTGTATATCTACTACTTATCAAAAAGTGTTTAAATAAACTCAATTTAACTTTTCTCTTCTCACCACTTGGATCTAATATTGAGAACATTGATACCAAAATGTACTTACACGGTTTTTCAGAACGAATGTTCTTAAATCAAGAACAATGTGCTTGAATATTTTTCTCCGTGTATGTATGTATATACATGCAACTTGTCATCCCAATCATCCTAGCCAGCTGCAAGCTTTTCGCTCAGAAAGATCTGATGTCAAGATGGGGTTTCGGGGTTTAAGGGGTTTAAGGAGTTATGGTAGCCCCCGCCAGTGGAAAACATTCGTCAAGGACTCACTTTGAAGACCGTGTTCTGCTCAGGTGGTTCTTCTGATTGATTTGATTGCCGTCACCTTGGTGGGCTGACGGCCCCCAGGCTTTTATATCCAAACACATGTCTGCTCTCGTTTGAAGTCCTGACAGCCCATGACAGATGGAGTAGCTTAAATTTTAGATGTATTCTGCGGCAATCTTCCTGGTTAAATTTGAGCCACTCACCCCCGGGGGTAAATATTCATAATTTTTCATTTTCCCCAGTGCCATTCGTTTCCCATTAAGTTAAACGGGCCCGAATTTGCATACATATATCCACTGCTGTCTCTGGCTGCTCGGTAGCCATTTTCCTGGGTAAATCGGTTAAAATGCACTTATCGGTGGAAGTTGCAATCCGATGGCACTCCCTTTTTGGCCGGAAATCGAATTGATTTGCTGCATGACCAGAACAGCAACAGAGGGCAGGTGAATCGAACGGAGCCCATTCGACTTATTGAATATGTATAAATGTGTATCGTATAGCCGGTGGACCGGGACTCGCATAATTGACGGCCCATTAAATGGTAATGCAGAAAAATTGATTCCCTTCCTTTGGAGCTGGCTCCTCGTTTTGTCGGAAATTGAATTTGATAAACTTTCTAAAGGCAAACGGAGGTGGAGGAGCTGAAGTTCAGTTTCTAGGCGCCAATTAGTCCTTTTTAAAGAGAATGACGATGGGCGGGGTTGGTTGGGTGGTGTTGTAAAACTCGGCCAGAAGGAGCTATGTGCCATGCGTCAGCTGGAAAAATGGAAACCAAAAAGTTTGTTTATGCTTAGACTTTTTGGCCGGGAACTGAGAGTTGGGACTATATAATACAGCGCTGGCTTCGACTGCTGCCGCTGTTGCTGTCATTCAAGTGTTTTAATCAATTCTGATTTAATTTTACGCCCAATTAAGTGTGAAAAGCGTTTGATGTCGAGCACGGGTGCGAGAGCAAATGGCAGGAATGGGGACTCGGGGAGATAAATCCCCCCACCTTCGAGTTTTCCAACCACTCACGCAAGCGTGAGCATTGAATATGCCATATGTGAAGGGTCGTCCTTGTTAGCCTAACGCTTTCCAGAGTTCCCGAGTTAACTTCGGTTTAGGGTTCCGAATTCGGGGATTCGGGGTTCCGGGTTCGGGGCTCGGGTGGTTTATTTGATTCGCAGCACTCGCACTAGAATAAAGGCATTTTTAGATGTATTTTGACATAAGTGTGTGCCAGCTTGGCCTGGAGACACCCACCCACCACCGCCGCTTGTGTATCCTTGCCGTGGCTTCAGCACTAGCTCATCCTCACCGCTCCTCGCTTTAACTCACCTCCATTGCCAGCTCTCCATTTTTCTCAGTGTACCCTCTAACCATGGAACAACTTTCTTCTTATGACAGAGACAAAGACAGACGAGGCACATAGTTCCGCCAACCATTATCCAATAATCTCTATCAACAGCCACTGCCGAGCCGCTCCATCGGCGCCAACTCCGGGTTAAGTCTGTTGAAGAGCTTAGTCTGCATGACTGCCGATCCCATATCGTTGTGCTTTTGGATTTGTTTGCAGGTAAACCCCATGACTTCAAAACACCTCTAATATATCCTTTATAAA